TCCATTGCAGGATGTTATTTCTGGTCCATTGAAATGTCATGAGTCTTCATTGATTCTGGACTCGCGTATAAGTTCTAATAAGTGGAATAGGTCTGGCGAAGTACATATAGTAGTACCTTGAGAGTTAAATTCAAGTCAAAGAGAGGGTATATAGGAAGGGCTTGAGTTTGAACTATTTTTTATCAGAAGTATCTCTCTCAGGAGGTATTGCGGTGATATCCAAATATATTATCTCTGCTTCATTCGTCCGCCCTTATTAAAGTGGAGGATAACTAGCTCCCGTTGCGCATCAAGGGTTGGTCATGCTATGTATTCATGATAAACAATATAAGCAATCGTAATGTTCTGCGATATGTACTTCTCCTCAACATGCTGAACAAATGTACTAATTAATATGAAACAAATAAACCAAATAAACCAGGGGAATCTCAAAAAAATATGGTGCAAACAAACAAGAATAGCGAACGAATATACCGGACAGAAGAGCATAAAGCAAACTCCACCGCTAATGAGTGATGACGTTCAAGTCGAATCGGACACAAGAAGGGGCATATGGAGATAAATGGCGAATAAAGAAGATGCAAGAAAAGTAACAAAACGCTGGCATAACAAGTCTTCAATCAAACATAACCGAGAGCACTGAGCATAGTTTTGCATTCAGGGACCGGCAGAGCGGAGACACCCAGCGCGCGGACCAGAGCACCAGCCCGGAGCCGCTGGAGACCGATAGCGACCTTCCAGGCCTCAGTATCTTGCAATACAAAGACATACTTTTTGCCTTCTTGGTCACGAACACTGGCGCGGAGAATGTGCAACCCACGAAATTCCGCCTGGGGCGGGTGAACAGGACCACCATCATGACTAGCAGTAGCGCTGCGCGCGAAGCACGCACTGGGCGAAGCCAGGCGGCAAGTATTCTTGCATACTTTAAGCAAGTTCCCCAGAAAGGCCTCTGATTCTTCGTTGGTGGGGACGTTGTTCCCACGACGGAAAGAGAAAGGGTTGCTGGACGCAGTTTTGGCGGATGCAGTGGCGTTCACTTGTGGACACCACACCTCCGCTAGCTTGAGGGTCCATGCCTTGACGTCCCACTCCCGCTGACCGATGCCGCGTAGGTCATCGTCGACGAAGAGACCCTCGGTTGTGATGCGCAGCACCAGCCCATCGGTGACCATGCCTTGGCCTGAGACAAGTTGCGCCACTGGTGTCTTCATAAAGGCATTGTTGAATGCGTATACACCTTGGATCACGATTTTATCTGGATCCTTTGTGGAATATGTACTGCGATGTGAGGGGGGAGGTGTTGTGCGCGCAGTCGAGTGAGAAGGTGCATATGAAGACTCGGAGTATACTGATGTGCCGGCTGCATATGGCCGCCGTGGTCGGTCGTAGGGACGAAAGGAGTACGCGTCGTCATCGTTGGCAGTTTTTGCGGTTGGGTGGGCTGGCTTTTTAGGAGAAGGTGTACGAGGCAGATTGCTAGTACTAGCTGGCTTCGGCGGCGGTGATTTGGCAGCAGCCTCTTTCTTTGCATCTTGCGCCTTCTTCTCGGCGTATTTCTTGCTTGCTGCTTCCTTGAGCGCCGCAAATCTGGCCATGGCTTCTTTCTGGGCGGCGGCCTTTGCAGCAGCTTCTTTCTCAGCGGCTTCTTTGGCAGCCTTCTCTTTGGCTTCTGCTTCCAATTTTGCGAGTTTTGCCTTCGCCTCGGCTTCGGCCTTTGCCTGCCTCTCGCGGGCCTCCGCGGCTTCCTTCTCCAGTCGATCGCGTGCCTCCTTCTCTGCAGCGGCCCTTGCAGCAGCCATCTCCTTTTCGAGCTGCTCGCGCCGTTCCTGTAATTCCTTCTCCATTGCTTCGCGCTCGCGTTTCTTCTCTTTTTCTTTGGCCTCTGCATCACGCTTGCGCTTGAACTCCTCCATCTTTCGACGTAGCTCCTCCTTGCGCCTCGTTTCTTCTCTTGCTCGCTCTCGTTCGGCTTCTTCCTTAGCTCGTTCCTTAGCCCGCTCCTCTCTGGCACGCTCCTCCTTGACGCGTTCTTCTCTGGCACGCTCTTCCTTAGCACGTTCCTCCCTAGCTCGCTCTTGCTTAGCTCGTTCTTCTCTAATGCGCTCCTCTCTAGCACGTTCCTCCCGAGCACGCTCTTCCCTAGCACGCTCCTCCCTGGCACGTTGTTCCCTAGCGCGCTGCTCCTTAGCGCGCAGCTCCTTAGCTCGCTCTTCCTTAGCTCGTTCCTCTTTCGCTCGTTCCTCTTTCGCTCGTTCCTCCTTCGCTCGTTCCTCTTTCGCTCGTTCCTCTTTCGCTCGCTTTTCAGCCTCCTCCTTTTCACGTTTGTTATTATCAGAATTTGGAGGAGGACCAGAGCCATGTTGATTACCGGAATATTGGTTGCCGTGGGTTTGTCCTCCACCAAAGTTTCCTCCCTGTTGTCCTCGCTGACCCGCCCCGTTGCCGCCATAATTGGCCCCCGATGAGTGTTGGTTGGTGTTTCGACCGGCGTTTCTAGGGCCACCCGGGCCTCCAGGACCGCCTGGGCCCCCAGAACCACCACCAAAGCCACCAAATCCGAACCGCCCACCTCGAGGACCGCCATTGCCTCTATTTTCTCCCGAGCTGGTAGACTGAATGGAGCCAAAAAGCCATCCAGCGACACCCACCCCGATCGCAAGCACTGCCATACCCGTACCACTGCCGCTAGCGACTGTAGCTAGATACCATGCCTTCACAATCGGGGAGATGTACGACCACACGAAACATGCGAGGAGTGTGCTCGCGACGCCTGCTAGGAAACTGTTTCGGTTGCACTGCAGCGACGGAAGGTAGAGGAAGCCCGAGCCAGCGGAGTGAGGTGGGACGATAAAGATGTCGTAGTTGCCATCTGGCAGGTCCGAAGATTTGCGATATTCGCCTTCAGTCGTATGGGGATTTTCGCCATGAGGCGGTGGCGGTGGCGGCGGACCGTCCATATTGGATCAGCCTGGAGCGACAATAGGGTTAATATATATGCGCCGCAGTGCGGCGAAGCGCAGCGTCAGTCGAACGACTAGCTACAACCTGGGTTGATCTGCCGGATCAATCCTAGATGGACAAGTTCTCGCGGTTGAGAGTCAACTGCCAGGTCATATTAGTCTGACAAGTGTTGCACTGAGGCCTCAGGCACTCAGTGCTATGGAGGGTATTCAGATGCCAAATCCAAGAAAAAAGGACACAACAAAGATCAAAAATCTAAACAAAATCCAAATCGCAAAGCAGAGAAAAAAAGGTTGAAAGTGCGGGAGAACCTGAGTCTGACTTTGGGGGGGGGGGGTTGGAAGAGAAGTGTGGGAGCTAAGGATCGGCGCCAACGCTTCCTGCATCACTCAACGTGGCATCACATCAAAAAAAAAACAAAGTTTAGCAATGCGAATGAGCAAACGAACGAGGGAGTTGCCTATAGTTCCTGATGTGGCTCTCTATACATTATCCGAATTATGTTGAATTCCTCGGAGGCCACGCGATTCTACGTAGCGCTATGTGACCTAACTTAGAAATAGCCCTAAGGGACCGAAGTGTACGAACAATTAATTACAGTGAACTTTTCTAAAGTAATGAAATTATTCAAAACTAAGACTATACAAGTGTTTGTTCTCAAACATGTGTCTTTTAATATAGCTTGTCAACCTGTAATGGCATCAATGCTCAAAGTCCTGTCAATATGGCAAAAATACTGCTGTTTTGTTTTGATTTTACTCTTTTGGGAAATGGCTTGTTATGTCAGCTTGGAATATTATTCTTCCGATTATCTTGCTCTCAGCTTTCTTATGTTGAGTGATGGGGGGGGGGGGGTACGAGGGAAATAGAACCGAAAAAACTAGTTCAAGGCATTCAAGTTAGGTCAAAATTATATAAGATCTATATAATGTCTCGCACGCTGCTATGTATATTGATGAATTCTATGTTAATTTTGCAGCTGTTTCCATACTCTGTGGCTAAGAGAGGCCCGTATTCGCATTCGGACCACTTGAGCCTCTTTCCAGCCGGCACATTATAATGAGCCCGGGGTGCTTCGGATGTTCGCATTGTTTTGTGAAGAGTCAAAATATGCGGCTTTTATAAAATTTACACAAGTGATTCCCGTTGACGCCTCATTTCATACTCCTGTGTACCTCGAGCCGCTGACCAGCGTAAAGAACATTCGGTCCTAGCATGTCCCTCAAGTGGTTCCAGAGCATATAACGCTGGGGGCGGAGCACTAGAAAACACTTGTTAATCTTGCGGTCAAGCGGTTGGGGGAGATAGTTTGGACGTAGTGGGTCCAAGATATTCGAGTTGGAGGATGTAGCCACCGAGGCTTGTTCATAGGGTAGCGTGGAGTGTGTGGTAAAATTCAATTTCGAGGTTGAGGAAGGGCTCATGACTCAGAAAAATAGGAAAAAAGACGCAAGCAGCTATATCTCATGGTCACCATCCACAGGTGTGGCGAGCGCGCCATACGATATAGATGTCCCATGATTGCGGCATGAGGTGCGGGACCATAACCAGGGATAAAGGGACATAGGGCCTCATGAGAGGCACTTGTAGCCATCCTGGCCCACTTAGGCAGTGCTGAACACTGGATATTAGCCTGGCAGAGGGACACCATAGTGAAAGTAGTTTAGGAGAAGTGAATGTGAAAGAGAACCCCGATGGCAAGGAACAAGACTCGGCAGAACGTGATCTGCAGCCGGTGATTGGGTGGCTTTCCACTTGAGATTCCAATACCCTCTCTCCCTCCATCGGAGTGTTGATCGTTCTCTTTCTATCTCACCTCAGCTGCAAATCTTCTTGTTCCCCCTGTAATAGCCTGGTAGTCAGGTACTACCCCGTGTCTCCGCGTCCCCGCCAACTTGTCCTTTTAGTCCCCCTCCCAGACACCTATCTCCGCCAACCTTGAACACCTCCCCCCAATCCCCGTCTCACTCTCTATGCCGTGTCGCTAGCCACCGAGAACCGATTTACGACCTGCCCTTGAAGGGCACCCCGACACCATGTCCTCACAGTCCCACCACGGTCATTCCGCGACGTCACGTCAATTCCCCGTCTACAATCCCGTCGCCGCAGTGACAGCACCTGCGGGGACCTTGCTTCCGGGCACTAAGATCCAAGTCGGCGGCCATCGCGTGGTAGTGGAGAAATATCTCTCTGAAGGCGGTTTTGCTCATGTGTACGTGGTACGATTGCCTCAGCCAGTCAATGGGTCCGAAACCGCAGTGTTGAAGCGGGTGGCTGTGCCTGACAAGGCGGCCCTTGCCAACATGCGCACTGAGGTGGAAACCATGAAGAAGCTCAAGGGTCACCGGCACATTGTGAAGTATATTGATTCGCATGCCTCGCAACTGCGCGGAGGTGGATATGAGGTGTTCCTGGTCATGGAGTACTGCGCGGGCGGTGGTCTTATTGACTTCATGAACACCCGGCTTCAACACCGGTTGACAGAGCCGGAGATTATCAAAATCTTCTCCGATGTTGCTGAAGGTGTTGCATGCATGCATTATCTTAAACCGCCCCTCCTCCATCGTGATCTGAAAGTTGAGAACGTTTTGATCTCGGGCAAGGGGAGTTCTGCCACCTACAAACTGTGTGATTTTGGATCATCGGCACCCCCTCGTCCTGCTGCTACTTCTGCCGCCGAGGGCCGTTTGATTGAAGATGATGTGCAGCGGCATACGACACTGCAGTACCGAAGCCCGGAAATGATTGATGTCTATCGGAAGCAGCCGATTGACGAGAAGAGTGATATCTGGGCACTTGGTGTGTTTTTGTACAAATTATGCTACTATACAACCCCCTTCGAAGAGGTCGGTCAGATGGCTATTCTCAACGCGACCTTCAAATACCCTTCCTACCCTTCATTTTCGAGTCGGCTGAAACTGTTCATTGGTAAGTTTGGAAGCTTTCTTTGGCCTATAATCGATCACCGATGGCTGACAACTCTGAGCAGGTTCAATGTTGAAGGAAGATCCCCGGAATCGTCCTAATATATACGAGGTCGTGCGCGAGGTGTGCAAAATGCAAGGGAAGGAAATTCCTATCAAAGACGTATGTTGCCCACGCTTCTGTTAGTGAAAACTTGACACTTACTGTCGCTTAGATCTATTCCAACCGCTCTGTTTCGGAAGCGCGCAAGTACCAAGAGCTACCGCCTACACCTACGGAAGCTCCTGCGGTAGGCGCGGTATTTTCGCCTCCGATGCAGGAGACTGAGATAATCCCAGAGATAGCGCCTATGCGGCGTGGTCGACCTGGTAAATCTCCGACGTCCCAGCCTAGCTCCGAGAGACCGAGTCCTTCACCATATCGAGCCGCTGCTGAAGGCTCGTCAAATGATCCGTTTGCAGCCCTGGATGGGAGCGCATCCCGAAGGAAGACGGCAGAGGAAATGTCAAAACGGTTCCCCTCCCTAGACCAGTTTGACATCTTGCATGAAAAAGGGGACAAGTTTGAATTCGAGCCAACTGTTGAATCTAAGCCTGAGGACGAGGATCTATCCCGAAGACTCACCAACGCCCTAGCCGATGATGCTTTTGCCAGACGTGTCTCGCCCGAACGTGCGCCGAAGCCAGTCTATAAGCGAACATCCCAAACATCTCCTGTCCGAGCACCTAATTTGCGTGAAATTCCCGCCCCCCAGGCTGTTCCCTTGTACCAGCCGACTCCTCAGCGACCCATAATGGTGTCGACGGGTACCATGACCTCACCCATCCAAACACCTCGTTTGCCGGAGCAAAAGCTGCTTAGTCGCCCAATCTATCGATTCCCTTCGTCCGATAATGAACACATATCTTCCAGTGAGCCATTCACAACCGAGGAGGAACAAAGAGTGATACGACCGCAAAAAGCGCCCTCCCCCCGATGTCGAGTTTGAATGTGGAAGGAAGCTCACGGCTGCCATCTGACCGTATTTCCAGCCAGTCTAATTCTGCGCGCCCCTCGATGGAAACCTTGAGACGGCCTTCAACATTAGAGGTAAATGAACCCGTGGGACGCTCTAAATCCGCTCTTGGAAAGGCTCGACCGATGTCAGTCCAGGCGGGAGCGAGATATGACCTGACACGTGACTCCGAGAGTCCACGGTCTTCGCTGGATATGTCCCGCCTGCAATACGAGGGCGGCGCGCCACTACGCTCAGTGCGTACCGATGTGGACCGTGAGTCTGATCGGACTATTTCCTCTGACGTCGACTACCTACGCGCGATGGAAGAAGAAGAGAGCAATCGGAAGCGCGAAAAACGCTCTAGTGGTAGTCACAAACACAACAAGCGCGGTAGTCTGTCTACTTTGTCGCTTTCAGGAGGCAAGAACATATTTGCCGGTCGATTCGGCGACGCATTCCGCCGATTCGAGGCGGGCAACCAAGAAAAATTATCGTCGCCATCGGCAGAGGAAGTGCCTCGACAGGGTCTGATTGGGGCGTCGGATTCAGCCGACGAAAGTCTTTCGCCAAATGACGAGATTGCCTTGGAAGACGTCGACCGGGACGACATATCACCGGAAATGCGTCGGGAGCTGGAACGCCGCCGACTCTCCCAAGAGGAGAAACGAGTTGCCAATGCCGCAGCTGAGTACCGGCGCCGGGTTGCCGAAACGGGCGACGGGGGTGGAAGAGCGATAGGCGATGGCGCACGCTCCCGCACCATTCAGAATAAGGTACAATCGTTGTTTGGAGAGTCTGAAAAACCGACCGTTCCAAAGACTGCCACTGGGTATGGACGGTTCACGGAGACTTCCTCTTCTTTGCAGGCAAAGCAGAGTGAGGCCAAGCCCACCACCTCCAGCCAGCTGTCCGCGTCTAACACATCTGGCCCCACCTACACTCCTCGTGAGGGTTCAATGACAGTCCCGGATCGCCTAGACGACCCCAAGATCGGTGTCCCGCAATCTGCCCCCCCTACCAGTTACCCATCCACGCAACGTCCCGCAAATCGACCAGCTGCACCACCCAAACCGAAGAATTTGCGCGTTGGCACAGCCACCTCGCGACCGGGTACTGGTCATGGCCATGGTTCCTCCGAAGAGGCTCCGGCAAGCCCTGGAGAGGACTGGGAGGCCAAATTCAGCCAGCGTTTCCCAAGCCTGTCCGGACTTGAAATGGAGACAGAGATCAAGATCCCAAAAATTTCTAGCTTGAGGACGCGGGAAGTGTAGAATATAGGATACAAGTCTTGTTTGTTTCACATGATGCGGTTTCAGCGCTATGTTCGCCGCGCGGGCGCAACTCGGGGAATGACATTGGTTCTCACGAGCTATACATATATAAACAGTGACATATCGGACATTACATAAGTTTTTCTCGAAAATAATAACCCCCAAACCTCTAACTTTATTTTCTGTAGTCGTAGCTAAGAACGCGCCCGATCTCAACTACAAGAAAGGTGGTATACTTCAATATAGTCCCCACACCGCCTTTGCTTTCCCCCGCAAGAGCAAGAGAAACCTCAGTCTTGACTGATAGGCGGACACCTCTTTCAATATATTAGATCATGGCACCAGTGACTTTGAAAACGGTCGATGGTGAGTTACGAGCAGCAAAGAGCTCTGAGAGCACACATGCTAATTCATTACGCAGACGACCTCAAAGATGTGATCCAGCACTTATTCGAGATCCAGTCTGCCGTCCACGGCTATCTGGGCCCAGAGACACAGCAGGAGCTTGTGCGAAAGATGTACGTCATCTGCAATAGAATCCTATGCTCCCTCCATTCCCCTATGCCCATAAATGTGCTCCGTCAGAGCAAAAGACTACCCGACAAGCAACACAACTGAACCCCAACCCTATTCACTACCCAAAACTAATTCACTCTAGCAAAAACCTAACCCTTGCCCTCTCGACTCTGTCAACACATACCCAACTCCCACCAACACAAGAAAACCAACCGGACACAAACACCGACCCCTCCAACCCCTCCCTCGCCAGCATCCAGCTCCCACCAGAGATAATCGACTACGTCGACTCGGCGCGTAACCCGGACATCTACACGCGAGAGTTCGTCGAGCTTGTGCAGCGTGGGAATCAGGACCTGCGCGGAAAGCGTGAGGCCTTTGCGAGCTTCCGCGACGTGTTAGCCCGCGAGATGCGCAGCGCTATGCCTGAGTGTCGCAGCGAGGTTGATCGCGTGGTTGCTGCGACTGGTGGGGCGGTTGATGGGCCTGACGGTGTTACTGGGGATGCAGCTACGTCCAGGGGTGGAAATTGAAGGCCCTTTGGTGGGGTTAGACCGTGCAGGCCTGAGATTCCTGATTGGCACAGAATTGCCTTTCGTTGGCAGGGGTTCGACGCCGTGGCTGACCCGAGGTCTACGCCGACCTTGATATTCAACCCTTACCTTCAGACGTTTGTTTGAAGTTCATAGGTCTCGTGCATTTGTTGGAGTTCTTATGATTCGCATTGAGCGCGGCGCTTGCAAACCCTATTTTTTTCCGTTCAGTTAGCATGGCTAAGTGTTTATAGAGGCCTTTTGATAGTTAATAATTTAAGCGCTAACCTTAAAAGCGTTACTTACGTATGCTAATCTTTATATATGCTCTATAGCTCATACCGCCACTCGAGCGCGGAGGTCGACTGTGCCCTAGCATTAGTCAACTACAATATAGTTAGTTAACATCCATCGATGTTTCATACTGCCTGATAAACAAGGCCACAAAATTAATGCTGTGGCTGACGTCATCGAAGGATATCCCTCGGAGTTGAAGCAAACCTCGGAACAGGAGTTTCCGGACCTCATGAAGCACAATGCCAACTCGAAGGAGCCGATCGGCGGCAGCGTGTGTGCATTGTCGCGAGAAAAAGGTGCGTGCTTTGAGCCTCTATACAGAGTTTGAACTCATTATCGGATTAAACAAGTAGTTGAAGTGTGATGCCCAGAGGCCCCAGTGTGGGAACTGTCTAGCCAAGAGGATCGAATGTCGGCTAGGCGTGGTCCAGAATAAGCCAAGGTACAAGTGACCGCACTACAATCAAATTTCAAGTTGCTGATGCTTCGCTTTTGGGCCGACCAATCACCGCATTGCGGAATTAGAACAGGAGAATGAAATCCTTCGACAGAAATGTGCCCAGCTTCGAGGCAACAACACCACTTCTGCTGGAAGGGTTCAATCTGAACTAGAGCATTCTATTACATCGGAAAGCACCCCACGTACTCCATTGCCATTCTCGAGAGTAACGGGTATTGGTCTCTCGCGGAATGACTCTTCCTCTACTTCAACTAGAGGTGTATCACACCCAGAAGTACCGGAGAACGACCGCAGAAACACGTCATTGTACCATGGCCCAACGAGTACAGTGTATGATGATACAAGTCCGAACCACAATGAGCAGAATAGACCAGGACAATGGAACGAAGAGGGAACGCGGCATTTTCTCTTTTCGCAGACAGCGAGGCAGAGCAAGTCGGATCTCATGTAACACCAAATATGGTTACGGTACTAATTGGAAAATAATAGGACAGCTAGAGCCACTCAATCTTGCCGCCGGAAAGCTCGACTTTGATGGCATCGATCCTGAGATCGGCATGCATCTACTCTCTATATACTGGAGTCGTCAGCTTTACACAGCACAGATAATTTACCGGCCGGCTTTCATGCGAGATATGGCCTGCGAGGGACCATACTTTTCCAAATTGCTGTTGAATTCGATATTTTTTGTGGTGTCAAAGCACTGTGACCGACCAGAGCTTCGTTCCGACCCAAATGACATTACGACTGCAGGATGGAAGTTCCGGCAACGCTTCACGCAGCTTTTGCGAGATTGCTTCGATAAAAGCGAAATCACTACCCTTCAGGCCTTGTTGATCATGTCCAATGCGCTTTTTTCCAGATGTGATGAACGGAGTCTGTCATGGCTATACGCCGGAAATGCATTTAATATGTTCATTGATCTTGGTCTGCATGTGCTCCCTGCTGTGGATAGCATCCCCGCCGAGGAACTTGAAATTCGAAAGCGAGTGCTCTGGGGAGCATACTGTGAGCTATCACTCCCCCGTATTGTCCCCGGATAACCTCTGACTTCTTTGATAGTGATTGATAAGATCCAGTGTCTTTTCCAAGGAAGGCCTCCGCTTCTCAACCGTGTCAACTTGAGAGCGTCACTGGACTTCCTAGATGACTATGACGAGCTTGAACCTTTTCAGGGTATCACATATATGACTACTAAGCCTCGAGGAGTGATTCCGTCATTAAATGTTTCTTTGCTCACCAATTTATGCGAGTTGACAACAATTGTGGAACGTGTTCTTCGTGAGATTTATTCAGAATCTCGAGAGTCAAACCTGGTCCACAGGGCAAATATCTCGGAGGAAATCAAGTCACAGCTAAAAGTCTGGCGCCAAAATTTGCCACTTCAGCTTGACTATTTGTCATTTCCAGACCAGGCGGTTCTCCTGCCTCAGTCTGCCTGCCTTTTGTATGTTCCTTGCACCAACCAAGGCTATTTTACAGTTGCTAACCATCGACAAGAGCTCTGTTCAACGTGCTTATTATTTTGGTTCACCGTCCTCTAATAATTGGCCATGACGGGGTCATCAATTCAACAACTGCCCATGAGTCAGTGAACGCATGTACAGCAGCTGCGAACCAAATTGTTCAGATTCTGCATGACTACTCGCAGCACTTCTCGTTGAACAGTGCGCCGTACATGCTCTCTTACGCTACCTATATCAGTGCAACGATCCACGCACGGATTGTTGCACAGAAAGGGAGTAACTCAACTATGTTCCAATCACTGATTCTTTGCCGAAATATTCTTGCTGAACACACACACCTCTATTCTGCAGCAGAGAAGGCTAGGGAAAATTTGGAGAAATTGATTTCTCACTTAGGAATCAGTACTACAGATGACAATGTACACACTGGAAGCCCCGGGAGCTCTGGGAACAACTTTCCCAGCGAACATATGCTCGTGGATGAGTCTATGAATATCACCAGAGAACCTGGCGTCGCAGATCGTGCACTTGAATTTGGGTCTTCTCTGATGACATTAGAACTATCGGATCTGGACCTTGAGGCAATTGCTCAAGGCTTTCAGGTTGATGTAGAGTCACATTCGTTCTGGAATTCTTTGGTGTGAATTATCATACCCTCACGATATGCATCCATGGCCCCTTATGATTTACGCGATCAACAATAGCGAGACAAACAAAATTTGCTTCAATGGCATATATGCTGCACTAGCTACCGTAAGGCCCAGAGGCAGCCCTGCCTGCTTTTTGGGCAACAATCTCCATTTCACTCGCGAGAGAGCTGGTCAGAGCACCAACATCAGTCACGACATTGACTAAGTCATACCCCAAATCAGCATATTTCTTTGCCCGCTTTCCATTTCCGCAGTAGATTCCAGCCTTCTTGCCTGCCTTGTGTGCCGAATCCAGAACCTTTTCAATGGCTTGTTCTAACTCGGGGACAAAAGAACTACCCAACACTGGGTGGCCGATACCATTGCCCAGGTCAAAAGGTCCGACAAATAACAAATCGAGTCCTTCAACGGCGGCGATGGAATCGACATTGTCAAAAGCTTCTTTCGTCTCGATCTGAACTGAGAGCAGAAGATTGGCATTGGCTTCAGTCAAGTACTGCGTGGCTGATACATCCCTGCCAAACCTGTCCATCGGGAAAGGCGATCCGAAACCTCGCTTCCCTTGTGGTGGGAATCGGCAGGCCTCAACGAAGGCCCTTGTGTCTTCCACTGTTCGCACGAGAGGAGCGAGGACTCCATGTGCGCCTGCGTCTAGGGCACCTATGCAAAATATGAGAAATTCTCAAGTGGGCTAGGGATATCAAGCCCGTTTGACATACGTTTAATCATCCAAGATTGAAAATCGGGAACACGAACAATTGGGCTCGCTCCATATGACGTTATAGCGGGGACAGCTTCGTGCATTGCGGCATCTGCGAGGAATGTTAGAATTGAACTCCAAATAAGAGCGAAACTCCTGGCCATCGATATTTCCATGTTCACAGTCCACCAAAACCCAATCGTATCCAGCTCGTGCTAGAGTACGGGACATGTTTGCTACCGGGCAATAGCTGCCACACTCCCAGAGTGAGGTTGCCCTTGTCGAGGACTGTCTTTACACGGTTTAGACCTTGCATTGTTGATGACTTTGGCACAGGCGAGTTATTGGAAATTGGATCAATAGACGAAGTTCGCCTATAATAGATCCGACGTCATATCTTCAGACAATATCCGGAGCATCATATCCCGGGGGGCAAAATCTCGGCTTATCTCCGTGATCACGCGGGGCAGCAACAAATTATATGATTCCAATGATTCGACGCCAAATGGCTCGGAAAGTGTCTCCCGAATGCACTCCGCATTTTTTCGAAGCACAAATGGGGAGCCCTCCATATATAATCCATCATCACCCCTCAAATCCATGGAACGTTTATTCCGCACTACCCCGATCTATAGTGTATCTATAACACCATGGCGTGTTCCGATAAGAAGTCCTGTGAGGGCTGTTCATGCAGCAATGACTCCCAACCTCAATCAATCAACATCGAGGACTGTCTAAGTGAGCTGCAAGCCCTACGTCGACGCAATCAGGAGCTAGAAACGCGCATGAAAGTCACAAGCGAGGTAGATAATGCCCAAGTCCCCGTCAAACAACCGGGGCGAACACTTCGTTCGTCCTCATGGTTCGACTGCCGCAGCAATCCCGGAATGACAGCTATCTACATGGAGCGGTATTTCAACTACGGTATCACCAAAGAAGAGCTCATGTCTGGTAAGCCGATGATTGGAATTGCTCAGACGGGCTCAGATATTGCGCCGTGCAATCGTCATCACATTGAGCTCTCCAAACGTGTTCGTGAGGGTATCCGGACAGCTGGAGGTATTCCATTTGAGTTCCCTACACATCCTATTCAAGAGACGTCAAGACGGCCAACTGCGACACTTGATCGGAATCTGGCATATCTTGGCTTGGTGGAGATCTTGACGGGATATTTCCTTGATGGTGTTGTATTGCTTACCGGGTGTGATAAGACAACCCCGGCTTGTTTGATGGCTGCCGCTACGATGGTAGGTACCAGACCTTGGAGACTTCTAGATCCATGCTTATATTTCTAGAATATCCCTGCTATCTGCATGAACGTGGGACCTATGCTCAACGGTTACTCCAAAGAAGCTTTGACCGGAGCAGGCACTGTATTGTGGCATGGGCGAGAGCTTTTCGCTACGGGTGACATTGACGAACATGAGTTTATGGATTACATCGCTCGAGGGTAAGCAATTTCTAAAGCCCCTGTAAATGACCCCAGGATCTAACCCAAACTCTAGAACTCCATCAGTCGGCCACTGCAATACAATGGGAACTGCCTCGACGATGAATGCCCTCGCAGAGTCCTTAGGAATGGCACTCCCCGGGTCAGCCGCCATCCCGGCTGCCTACCGCCACAGAGCCCAATGCGCCTATGAAACAGGCAAACGGATTGTGGAAATGGTAGAGGCAGACCGGAAGCCGTGCGATCTCATGACACGTGAGGCCTTCGAGAATGCCATTGTAGCAAACGCCGCAATCGGTGGAAGCACGAACGCTCCTATTCATATCAACGCTATCGCGCAGCACGCAGGCGTAGAGGTGTCCATGGATGATTGGGATACCCTCGGATCTACGATCCCACTGCTATTGAATATGCAGCCTTCGGGGGAATATCTCGGCGAAGAATATTACCGCGCTGGAGGACTACCGGCTATTATGGCTGAATTATTAGACCAGGGCAAGCTGAATGGCGATGTGCTCACTTGCAATGGCAAAACTCTTGCTGAGAATGTCCGTGGGAAACATACATGGGACCGGCGTGTCATTAAACCATACAACGATCCATTGATGAAAGATGCCGGATTCGCCCATCTGAAGGGTAATCTTTTCGACTCTGCAATCATGAAGACATGTGTCATTTCACCCGCATTCCGGAAGCGATACCTCTCCAACCCCGATGATCCAGAGGCATTCGAAGGATCTGTTGTGGTATTTGACGGCCCTGAAGACTACGAACATCGTCTGGAGAACACGCCACATATCGACGAGAAGACCATCCTTGTTATGCGCGGTGTTGGCCCAATCGGGTATCCTGGAGCAGCGGAAGTCGTCAATATGCATCCACCAGGCCGACTCTTGAAAGAGGGTATTGATGGACTATTCTGCATCGGGGATGGCAGACAATCGGGAACCTCTGGGTCACCTTCTATTTTGAATGCTAGTCCCGAGGCCGCAGCTGGAGGCAATCTTGCTATTTTGAAAGATGGGGATAGACTCCGCATTGACTTGCGCAAACGGCGGGTTGATATGCTCATTACTGATGATGAGATCAAACAACGAAGGAAAGCATTGGGCACCGAAGGATACCCCGTTGTCCCGAGTGGTACTCCCTGGCAGGAGATCTTCCGCCAGGAAACAGATCAGCTAAGCAATGGCATGGTACTACGAAAGGCAGTCAAATACCAGCGACTAGCCCAAGAAGGCCAGCCACTGCGCCATAATCATTGATATGCGGCACTTCAGACAATGTTGTTGAGCAGTCACCTAGGTTTCACTTAGTAGGGAATCTTTGACCATCACATCCATAAAACTATCACAGACCTATCTATCTACATTATATAATACTCCAAATATCGCATGTTGCATGTTGAGAAGCCGTCCTCGTGGAAACTATGCTATTCATCGTTATATAGATTACTGTTATGCATTTACAACCAATAGATAGTCTTCTAGCTACAACACCAAGAAGGGGGAGAAGACATCTACAAAAGTTCTTACCTTAATGTCTTTAATAAAGGAATATGAAAGAAGGCCATGGGTACCTAGATACATAAATATGCTCAACTACATAATAAATGTCCGCTGTAGAATGTGTCTCTATATCACCCTTTATACAATCTAATATGGAGAATTCACCACTCACAAGTGAACACCATGCACCTGCTGCTTCATCTTCTTCACGTTGAGATCCTTCCAAAAGAAGCACGAAGTCCAAGTTATAAGATAAAGACAAGTAGCGGTAATGAGCATAAGTCGCTGAGTTTCACCATAGGCATGGTCAATAGCATCACGAGTAGCTGTGCCTTTGGCGTAGGACTGCTGGACAGTCAAGGAGCCGTAAATGGTAGCGAGGTCTGCCTGTGCAGAACTCGGGAGGAGCTCCTTTAACTTGACAGGGAAAATTCCAGTCCACATCGCGACAGCAACAGTACCTCCTAGGGCGCTACCAATACTCGCAACCACACCCTCGATAGCCAGGATAGCAGGGATATTTCTCTGAGCGGAAACAGCCATGACAGTCATCTGCTCGCAGATGACGAGGGTGCCACCACCAAATGCAACGAAGATCTGGCACATGACGATGTATCCAATGTTCGAATCGGGTTGGCGGAACTTGATCATAAGGCCAACCCCAAGGATGGTAAGAGGAACACCAAAGCAGATGGCCCACCATTTTAGACGGCCGTTGTAGCGAAGAATTGCCCCGAAGACAAGACACCAGAAACACGAGCCCATGGTGTAAACGTTGGAGATATAGGTTGCTTCCGTGACGGTTTGGTTGAACATCACTTGCAGAAGGGAATAGAAGTAACTATCCCATATATACCAGGCCAGGTACAGGGACACCACCATGGAGAAGGTGAAGAAAACAGTCCGGTTTTTGATTAACTCCCAAGGCATGAACTTCACTGGCGCAAAGTATCTCTCCCAGAAAGTGAATGCGATAATCAAACAAAAGCCGATGACAACGAAACAGATAATCATTGGGGAATGCCACTCTCCAGGTTGATAAGAGTATAGGTTGAACGCCAACAGGAAGAGAGAAAAACCCGTGGAGATGATAAGCAGGCCAATAACATCAAACTCGATGCAGTAAAACAAGATAGACTGCCAGAGAGTTCGTCCACTGCTCCTCTTCGTCAAGTTCAGCTTTTCGGCTTTTTTCTAGGTATAATACCACAGACCCCAGAGCGGAGCATTGACAATGGGCATGATAATGGCAAAGACACCAAAGCCCCATCGATACCCGATGCCGCCTGGGGCAACTATTTGATTGGCAGCGTAACCGTAGATCCAAGGTGTGATGAGATAGGGAGAAGCGGCGTACGCAATCCAAAAAGCCCGGTTTTTCAAAGCCGTAGTATCGGCAATGAAAATGGTCATGGAGAAATCGATCATACTGAACCCAGTTTGGTAGAAAACCTGAGCAGCACAATATGTTTGTACATTCTTGCAGGCGGCCATCATGACCAGTCCGAGAGTCAGAAATCCGACACCGACTCCAAAGGCCTGAGGCCGACCCCAAATATCCATGAGCTTCGCGTAGGGAAATTTGACCAGAGCGGAGATCAACGAAGCGATGACGGAGGTAAGACCTGTCAAGGAGTGTAGCTCGAACCCACTATAGATATATGGGGATAGGGAGCTCAGCAGTCCAGAGCTGAAGTACTCTAGAAAGTTAACAACCCAGACGCTTTGGGCCATTAGCTATAAAAATACCTCAGGGCTTGGGAAAAGACGGAACTCACAGAATATAAGCTGCAACCAATGTGTTCTTTGTCCAGGCTTGGGTGCTTGCCTGAGCTTTTTGAGTACCCGACTGCGCTTTTTCATCAATAACTTCTGAATCCAACGAGGCCCGATCGGTTTCACCCAATTTTTCCAATTTGGAGTCTGCGGAAGCCTCCATGTCGGGTACATCAGTCGCTGGTAGCTCCTCGGCAGATGCCCGAGAAAATGGGTTGACGAAGCGCTTTCTCACAGCCATGATTTCAACAATCAGACCTAAACCCAAACTGAATACACCGAAACTCTGAAACTTAAAAGGCAGGACCTTGAATGGCGAAAAGAGCCCGAATCCACGATAGAAAAGTCTGGAAGTAAGTGAGGAGGTACAGGTTCGGGGAGACCAGTTTCCTGGGCACTGGATTTATACCGCAACTACAATACGAGATGTAAATGAAAATTTCACCAACTGGGGAAAAAATGAAGAGTAGATTAGCTAGAGAGACAAGCTAAACATAAGCTAGTCAAAAAAAAGTCAAAAAAAGTCAAAAAATAATTGCCCACCCCATTTTGGGATCTCACCGATGATCGGAATTTTGTTTTTTTGTTTTGTTTTTTTGTTTTGTTTTGTTTTTTTTTTTTGGTACGTATGTACTGTGTAAGTTAGGCGATTCTTGAGGTCAATGAGAGACAGTCAAGGGTCTGAAAGTGTCAAATGTTGCAAAACTACACAATATAGACCAAGCCCATGTACAAAGTACATGGATCCCACTAGGCTTGATCCGCCTTATCTGATTGATCTGATTGATCTGATTAACCTGATCCGGTCAGCTTGTCCCCTTTTGGACATAGTTCTCATTGCTTTCGGAAAATCTCCGAACATTTCGGAAAATGCTCCATCTTAGAAAGGGGACATTAAAAGGCCCGGCCTTTGAACCGAAATAAAACATGATCTGATACTGACACCATCATGTTAGTAGCCACCGCAGGAAACCCCATAGAAAACTCAAAGCTGCATCGGAAGCGCTAAGATCGCATGCAGAACGAACGGCTTCAGTGATAATTAAGGAGAGTCAATTGCAATTCTCAACATGTGCATAATAATTAGGTACATTGAATGAAGCACGGCATTAAGAGACGAAGATACCGAAGAAAAAGTATTAGCTTTTGACCAACAAAAGAAGTGCATCACTAGAGACCAAATGGATACGTTTCGCCCTTCCCAAGTGGCGTGTCGGGCTGGATGACTTCCAAAGGTTTAACAGCCTGAGTCGTATCAAACCAAACATAACCATCAAACTGTTTGTGAAGGAGAGCTTGCGAGTAATGGGAGACGCGCTCAGTATCAGGGCGGTAGATGACACCGATGAAACGCTGCAGGCGCTGCTCAGCGGCGATCGCTGAGCGCAGAGAGGGATCTATGCGATCCTGACGCAGGTCGAGCACGAAGCGTGGTACCCCGGTATCATGGGCCACAATCTCCCAACTGTCGTCCCGGGATGGACGGACGGACATGACCTCCATATCATCGTCCCACTCATGGGCCGCGGCAACGGTGCCAGTGTGAGTTCCGCATCCAATAATGGTCACATTCTCGCGTCCCAGTCGCTCACGACATAGTTGCCCGATGTTGAGCTCCTTGCGACGAAAGCCCATGCTTGTATAGCGCGCATCCCCGACGTGGGAATTGTGTGCCCACACAATGGCTTTCTCTCCCTCATGGTGCTTTAACAGACGTTCCAAAGTTTCAAACATGTGCATGTCGCGCAGGTTCCATGAACTTGCTGAGCTGTAGTACATTGCTTTGTAATACTTCTCTGCGTCACGAACCAGGTGGGCATTCTGTTCGCCGCTGTGGTATTCATCGCCATCCCGCGAGCCGATGTATTCAAGCCGTCGCTCCAAAAGGTCTCCAAGCATCTTCATCACCGGGCGTTCACAGTCTTCCATGCCTCGAAGGGATGCCAGACCATATGAAGTGGGATCATCAACCCAAGGCTCTAGGCACCCATACCGCTGGCGCGCTTGCTTGCCTGCCTGTGGGTCTACTCGGTCCAAATAGTCGATCACAGCACCGATCGAGGCACCCATGCTGTACAGGTCCAGCCCGTAGAACCCGGCTCTTTGCTCGGGTGGGAGGGCCTGGTTTCGATCACGCATCCATTCAACTAACTGTTGCATCTCAGAATTCCTCCACATCCAGGTGGGAAATCGATTGAATGGTTCATATCCTTTCGCACTTCCTCCAATTTGCGCCTTGGGGCCTGGGCGCAAGCGTACGTATCGGTCGATCGCCTCTGCATCCGGCCAGTCTGCTTCGACCGCGACCATGGTGTAGCCGTGTCGCTCAATGAGTCGCTTTGTGATCTCTGCACGTGCAGAATAGAACTCAGATGTTCCATGACTGCCATCTCCTAGAAGAATCACTTGGTTTCCTGCAAAAGTATCGAAGTGTGATGCGAAGCTTTTGTCCTCAATTACAGGCAGAGGCTGCACTGCTGAATTGAAAAGCTCCTGTAGTTGAGGCATCTTTTTTGTGGTTCGGAATATAGACGCCAAACGCATGGACGGTTAAGCTATGGTTGGGATAATCTTCACGCAGAATATCTCACGTAGATAAACATGTCGAAATGACACACGGCATTTCCATTCTTCTTTCATCAATACAACATATGTTCTTTGTTTCACGGGAGTTTTTCCAGCGAATTATTCATATCCCCGCAGCTAAGCAGTCATCATGACTTCATCGTCGATGGCAAACTACAAATGCTTCAATCCCGAGTGGAATAAATAACACCCGAGAATGAACATCTATAACAAATGCAGCTGTCTAGATTGCTATTGTTCAAGCAGAACACTACTCGAAAAGCAATCATTCATCCTGTTTTGAAGACACATACCTCGAGCATGGCTCTCCCAATCAGTAGTCCGTCACCGCGCCTAGACCGGTTTGGACAAGCCATGGAATCTCTTTACGGGAGTTTCAGCAGCATCGAAGACCCAAAAACCTGGACTCCACCACCAAGATCAGGCGGTCACCGGGGGCGATACCTATGGACAGATGCCTTCGGGGTTGTCAACTTTCTTACAATGCACAGCGAGTATAAGCGAACCGGCAATGGCACCGTTGGCGACGACCGTTACCTGGTGCTGGCTGCTCGTCTAATTGAGACTGTCCATGACGTTCTGGGTAGAAATCGAGACGGCCGTTCAAGACTGCGAGGAGCAACAGACGCCAACCCGTTAAGCGGTGGATTGAGGATCGGCAAGACAGATGCTCGCGGTTCAGATGGTGATGGGCAATATCATCATTATCTAACGATTTGGATGTTTGCGTTGAACAGGATGACCAAAGCATCGGGAGATTTGAAGTACAACAGGCAAGCCATAGAGCTGGCAAAGGCGATACACCCAAAGTTTTTTGTCGATCGCGCGGCAGCTCGACCGAGAATGATATGGAAAATGAACATGGATCTGTCGGAGCCAATGGTCAAGTCAGAGGGTAATCTTGATCCGATTGATGGCTTTGTTGTTTTTCGACTTCTGCAAGATACAGCCATGGAAGCAGGTGATGGTGCTTTCTTGGCCGAGGAGATTGACGACTACAGACGCACGATGGAGCGCAAAGGAGAGCACTTTGTTTCAAGTGATCCTCTGGATTTGGGTATGACATTATGGACGGCACATTGGTTTTCTGGACAAGAGCGCTGGGCTGCTGACCTGGCGGGGAAATGCTTCGAGCAAATATGTCAGTTTGTGTCAATCCTTGCGACACAACATAGGATAAAATCAAGCTGACTGTGGATGATTCCAGACAATTTGTTTGAGATCAATCAATACTTGGAACGCAACATAAAATTTCGGTTGGCCTTTCGCGAATTTGGGACCTGCATGGGCATCCAATGCCAGTCGGTGAACGCAGAAAAAGAACGCACCGTTGATTTGAAATGCTACTCCGATGCTATCATTGCCGCTTGGGATCCATACATGCAGCTATCCATATCCGATGATCTGACACCGGAGGACTTGAGGCCTATCACGCGGGTGATGTATGCGTCGGCGTTGATTCCAGGTGGTAAGTCACACGAGCCTCTATGAGTTCAGTGTGCTAACACGTCAATCCCAGCATTTCAAGCTGGATTCCTGGGACAGGAACCAACACCAACACCCTAGCAATGAACAAAATCACATGTGATGTAATGTCAAGAGATGAACAGTTTTCTATCACTCTACGATGTACAATATCCATGGACAGGTTCGACAGTAGTAGACCTGAAGGCAGCCAAAGCATAAAATGTACAGGTGACTTTTCCATGTATAACCAGGAAGTTCAGCGTCTGGATAAAGACGACTTGAGCACTTCGTCATGCCCAAAAACAATGCAATCTATCATTATCATTCGGTATATTCACAGCTGCTGAGAATCAGATCTTGCAGACAAAACAGAGGTCTATAGGTCTATACTCCCGGAAGTCCAACCACGTCCCTCAATGGTGCTATCCGTCTTGGAAGAATATAGATGGCATACACAGCACTCAAAGCAATGGACAGACCAGACCACTAGATGAACCGTTAGCCAATAGAACCCTTTCTCGTGGTATGGCTCTGCCGAAGAATGCACTCACCTTTTCCAACCAAGTGTGAAACCAAATCGCGGTCATGAAGAGCATCCACCAGCCAAGGCCAACGACACCCCAAACAAGACGGAGTGACCACGTTCTCGCGAACCCGCCAGTGTTGGTTGAGTCAACTACTGTAGTACTATTGGCGTCACTGGCTTTGCGCTCACGTCCCGCATCCCCAGTGGGATCAGAACATGATAAAAATGCGGGTGCGCGTGCGCTGGCCCCGACGGCCTCAAATGCGAGGAGTCCTGTGGCCAGAACCAGCATCAACACATGCCCACTGATATCATGCCCACCCCTCCATGCACCGCCGGCGGTTTTGCACGTAGCTGCTGTGAATAGTGTTTCTAGGTCGGTTGGGCTGCTCTGCCCAGCGGCCATCTTCCCGGCTTCCTCGAGAGCCCGTTCACATTTGCCGCCCGTGGCAACGAAACCGCGATCAATGATTGCCGGTCCAAAGAACCACTGTGTTGCAAGATACCATACTGTTGTTGCGAGTGCGTAGCGTAGAATAGCTTGTAGGGTGCGTCGGAAACGTGCTTCTTGCTGTGAGGAGGATTCCCGGCGAGATGAGGAGTAGAGGGGTTGGAAAATGAGGAGCGAAACAAAGGCGGCTGTGGTCCATAGCCATCCGATCTTTACGAAGTAGAGGTTGAAGATATTATTTTTTTTTGCGAAGTAGTTGACGGGGCTTTCAGATAGGTTCAGGTCTGTAGCCAGGGATGGCGCCAGAGGGCTTGCGGGCTGTGGGGAAGAGCCAGACAAATCTCTGGAATGGTGTGCTGTTGGGGAGATTGTTGAGTACAAAGACCCGAGTAATAATGTTGCAGGGTATATCAGGAGGACAGTCGAGAGGAGGGTGACAGGTCGTGCGGTGGCTGTGGCCATGGTTGTAAGCATAGGGCGAGATTCGAGCAAAGGAAAATGAAGTGGTATATTTTGAGATACGAAATGAGCATTCACCAGCACATTCAAATATGACCACAGAGCATAGTTGTTGCAATTGGGAAGGTCGAAGCAGGATAGGTTGGCGATGACCTGGACAGATGACATCAGGATTTGCCTGCCGAGGCTGCTGCATGAATGCCTCAGGCGTCGAACAAATATCAACTTCTTCTCTCCGATCTGAATTACCGGATATTTATATAATAAAACCTCATGAGGAGAACACTAAACATGTAATGATGTATATTCCAACTGCTTACTTGTCCTCAAATTATCTAAGCTGCACCATTTGCCGATATACATCTGTTGACTTCAACAGTCTAGATCAACGTAAAAAGGAACATTGCACTATCCCCGCTAGTATCCTGCTGTTTGGCGGGTGGCAATGTAAGAATTTTAACACTGTCTATTGGAAACACTGTATACGTATATCGAATCTCACAATTGTCCAATGTCAGACATGGATATAGATCTCTATAAGCTCTGAAATGCCGTTCACTTTTGTAGTGGACCTCCATCTAACTGTGGGGTATTTAACGAGCCCTGGATATCAAAGAATTCAAGTGAAACCGAACAAAAACCAAATGCGTCAACTTTCATCATAAAAAACTACCCTTACGGGACCTTTAACCGAGAGCCTGCATGGCCAACTCGACACTGGGGAGAGGGGTTAGCTGCAATCCTAGAAACACAAGCATCATGAGGGAGTAAAGTAAAGGGTAAACATACGTCAGGAATGTTCCGGCAGAAACAGGCATAGCTCTCAGCAGAGTAGGGCCAATGCCCTTCCAGAAACCACCGAGACCTTCAATGGCATAGGTCTTCTTGAAGCAGTCGCGCATGGTACTGAACTTTTGCTGCGCGCCGAATCCATCGGTCTGCATCTTACTCTTGATAACATCGAACGGGTAGCTGGAGAGCCAAAGGACCTCACCAGCTAGACCACCGTAAATGGCAATCTTTGCCTTAGAGAGATCCTCGCGCTTGACATTGTTACGCTTGGCATCCTGGTTCATCATGAATTCAAAGGCCATGAACCAGGCACCGTAAGCCTGAGCCTCACGGATGAGAGTAACTGCCTGGCCGCGGTAAATACCGCGGAGGGCACCGCCCTGTGCGGCCAGCTTGCTCACGCAGTCGATAGGGCCTGAGTACAGACGACCAGCGCCATGTGGCTGTGCCTGCAGGCGAATACGGACATGCTCAATTGGGCCTGACAGCACCGAGTTGGTGATACCAGCGAATGAACCAGCCAAGTAGTACTGAGTGTAAGAAAGGGTTGAGTCGGCGTATTTCTTCTTGTTCAGCTCTTCCAAGCGGCGACGCGCTTCATGGTAGGCACCGAATTGGACAGACACCTGGATTGGTTGGTTAGAGGAGTTGTCTATAGTAGACCTTGCCGCCGCGGGGGTAACTCACGCATGCACCGATACCGATAAGCGGGGTTAGTGTGCCCTTATAGAAGGCCGTGGGACCTTCGTTCTTGAAGATCTGGGTTGCGCACTCTAGCGCACTCTTGTACTGGGTGGTAGTTTGCAGGCGCACCTTGACGATGTCTGCCGAGTTGTTAACTAATGCCTCCCGAGATGTGCTCTAGGCAGATCACATACCAAAGGGTTGACCTAGTGTCTTGTTAGTAATTGCTTTAGTTTTGCATGTTTAAATATTCCCCCAAAAAAGCACCACTCATGACAAGTTTCTCATCTCATGGTGTTATGGCTTTCCCCCGGAATTCAAACAAAGTAGGGTGCACACATACCGAGGAGAACCTGAGCCATTCCACCCGCTGCGCCCGCGGCCAAATCCTTGACGGTGCGGAGGGCACCACCGCCCTTATCCAAACTGTCAATTACCTCGGTCTCCATGTTTCAAGGAATATAATTGCAACGACCAAAAGTATAGACAGGGACACAATCCGGAGACTCCAGACTTTATATCCAGCCCGCTTATCGCTATGGCGCCATCTGCCCTCTGATTGGATGAAGTTGCCGAAGCACGTGACTTTACCGGCGGACATTTTACATAAGCATTTTGATACCTACAGCTGACCTAAGCGGTGACATAAGCTCATCCTCTCGAACTTCTGGAAAGGGAAAAAAGTTGACGGATCCAGATGTGGATAGACTAATGAATGATGCATCGTCGGCCAGTCTGCAGGGTAAGTCCGCAGTTTTGAAGTGTTGCAATAGCATCTAACTAAAACTACAGCTATCCCGTCGGGCTGAGTGGTCGAATTCAGCCTACCGAACACCCACTCTAACAGCTCTCACACTTCGACGGACCTTACAGTTCTCCGCGACGCGTTGGAACTCATCGGATCCATCGAGTGGGAATGATGATGGCACTGCTTCAAATCCAGCGCCCGTGAAGGCCAAATTCGGCAGCCGATGGGGCCCTAAACAAACTACGGCATCGGCGGGCTTAAGTTTCGCAGAACAAGCGATGCGCCAAACCCTTGTCGCCAATAGTCAACCACCGCCGCCGCCAGCACCTGCACCACCACAACGGAGGCGGGAACAGTCAAATCAACAACGGAACTCAGGGCAATCAAACCAGCAGAGGAAACCGTACGCGCGGCGCGTGAGTCCTCGGGATAATCAAGATGCCTACACGATGGGATCAAGAGAAACCCCACGGAATCTGGGAAGAAATCCGTCCACTCAAGAGAAGAATCCCTTCAAAGAGGAGAGTTCAGGTAGCTACGTGAGATGGCCCAAAGGAACCGCACGGAATCAGGAGAGGACCTCGTCCACCCAAGAGCAGAATCCGTTCAAAGAAGAGAATGTAAGTAGCTACATGAGGTGGCCCAAAGGAACCACGCGGAATCATCAGAGGAACCCGTCTATCCGAGGAACAAAACCGACATTTGATGAAGAAAACCCATTCGCCCCTGAAAAGACACAAAACAGATTCCAAGGCCGATTTCAGAGCAAGGCGGCTAGGGACCATCCAGTGGCCCACGACGACTGGAACTGCCCTCAGTGTATGAAACATGTTTTTGCCACAAAGCAAGTGTGTCCGTTCTGCAAAACCTCACGACCCAGCGACGCCCAGCCAAAGTTCCGAATAACCAGAGAGTATAGCGATTCTCCCGGACCTTCACAGTTCAGACAGTCCCGATCCCCTTCTGAGGACGCTAGCAAGTTCCAGCGATTAGGGGATTCGGTTTTGTCTGAGTTGGAACAAGACGGTCAGCCGAGTACAACGGAAACCACAGGGCGCCATTCAAAGGAATCTGACCGACCTCAAACAAAGGAGGAAGCAGAAGATTTCAAGAAGAATCAATGGTCTTGGGATATGTCTGCACTGGAGCAGCTAGAAAACCTAGAGGCACAAGAGCAGCAGCCGCCGAAACCTATGAAGCGTCGTGATGGACGCAAGGGACGTCAGAGTGAGTATGATGAGGCCGACTTTGACTCGGAAGATCGCGAGCGCCTCCGCATAGAGCGGAGACTCCAGCAGAAAGAAAAGGCCGCCCAAAGGGCCGCAAAGAAGGCCGCTACGCTGGCAGCACCAGCTCCTCTTTACCTGCCCGAATTCATCAGTGTTAGCAACCTAGCCGATGTCGTTGGCGTGCGGCCGGCGCAGTTTGTGCAGCGGATGGAGGAGATGGGCTTCGAGGAAATCACGTACAGGGATATTCTCGATGCAGAAACTGCCGGATTGGTAGCAGCCGAATTCAACTACGAGGCCATCTTCGACAGCGGCAAGGCAGATCTATATGCTGCCCCTGAACTAGAGGACACATCTGATCTGCCATCTCGGCCACCCGTGGTCACTATTATGGGTCACGTTGATCACGGCAAGACCACGATCTTGGATTGGCTGCGCAAGTCATCTGTGGCAGCTTCTGAACATGGTGGTATCACCCAGCATATTGGTGCATTCTCCGTAATGATGCCTTCCGGGAAAGCCATTACCTTCCTTGATACTCCTGGCCATTCTGCATTCTTGGAAATGCGTCGCCGAGGTGCCGACGTGACCGACATTGTGGTTCTTGTGGTTGCTGCGGACGACAGTGTCAAGCCGCAAACTATCGAGGCAATTAAGCACGCCACCCAAGCCAAGGTTCCCGTCATTGTCGCCATCAGCAAAATTGACAAGGAGGGGAACAACCCTGATCGAGTTAAGGGTGACCTTTCTATTCATGGTATCCATGTGGAAGACTATGGAGGTGACGTCCAGGCCATCGGTGTCAGCGGCAAAACCGGACAGGGCATGGTTGAACTGGAAGAAGCCATCGTCGCGCTCTCGGAAATGCTTGACCACCGCGCAGCTACCACCTGCAACGTTGAAGGCTGGGTCATTGAGGCCTCTACAAAGTCTTATGGCCGTGTAGCATCCGTTCTAATTCGACGTGGAACTCTGCGGCCAGGCGATATTATTGTTGCCGGTACCGCGTGGGCTCGTGTCCGCACCCTCCGCAATGAAGCCGGTGTAACTATCAGTGAGGCCACGCCTGGAATGCCCGTCGAAATCGATGGTTGGAGAGAGCAGCCGGGTGCTGGCACCGAGCTCCTACAGGCACCAACCGAGCAGAAAGCCAAGGACGTTGTGGATTACCGCTTGGAGAAGTCTGATACCCAGAAGATGGGTAACGATATCGTTGCCATCAATGAGGCTCGTCGTGAACTTCTCGAGAAGCGTAGGCGCGAGAAGGAAGAGGAAGAAACAGCAAAGGAAGTCGAACCAACCGGTCCCAAGTCGGTCAATTTCGTCCTGAAGGGTGATGTGGACGGTTCTGTGGAGGCGGTCTTGAACTCCGTTGCAGCAGTCGGTACCAACGAAGTCTTTGCCAATGTCATCCGTTCGGGAGTTGGCCCTGTCAGTGAATTCGATATCGAACATGCTGGCAGTGCCAAGGGCAAGATCATCTCATTCAACCAGGCCATCGATCCTAACATCATGCGTATTGCAGAGACCGAGGGCGTCGAAATTCTGGACCACAACATCATTTACAAACTCATTGATGACATCAAAGCCATTCTCAGTGAAAAACTGCCTCCATCGGTCACTACGCGTGTGACCGGAGAAGCCGAGATCCAGCAGGTGTTCGAGATCACTGTCAAGGGACGTGAAAAGACAGCCATTGCCGGAAGTCGTGTGCGTAACGGTCTAATCAACAAAACTCGCAAGGTCAGGGTGCTTCGCGGGGAGGAGATAGTCTATGATGGTAAGCATATCACAAGCAGCTCAACACGAATAACTTGGACCAAACTAACTTCCCACAACAGGCACAATGGTTTCCCTCAAGAACGTCAAGAAAGACGTCACCGAAATGCGCAAAGACACTGAATGTGGTATCGCTTTCGAAAACTGGACAGATTTTGCACCTGGTGACCATGTCCAGTGCTACGAAGAGATCTCTGAGAAGCGCTACCTGTGAGTTAGATGGCTCATTGATCTCAAAATCTATGCGGTCGTGATGGTCGCTTGTATTATTTGTTTGGGTCATCTAACACTCTCCATTCCCCTCATGATCTTCTATCAAATTTTGTATTATATTTTCCTTTTTCTCTCGACATGGTTGACTTGCATTCAGGGTCTGGGCGTTGTTGCATCCCTATTTACTAGGGGCCGGAAGAAAAGCATACAATCAATGTAATCAGGGAAGGTGCTGCTGTTTCAGCGCATGTGTATATGTTAAAATATCAAAGCCAAATGGCCACATTATCATTCATTTATTTCTTATAAAGAATAGCCGGCCGCTCATTCGTGGTCCGACGCGCGAGAACCCCTGACCTTCCCATCCCAAAAGTAACGCGCGAAAGATTTACGCATGAACGCTGAGGAGAAAAGAACAACATCAAGAAGATGCTGAAAACGCTACAACTGATACAACACACCACCAGCTTCCGCAAACTTCTGCTGATACTCCTTCAAACTCGCCCACTGGCTCAATTCTTCTTGATCCCGCTCATAATCACTCAGATAGCTCATAGCGCGGCCGTTCATTTGTGGACTGAGGCCGTCTGCAGGACTGGCTGCATCACCCATGGGAGAATGGCATTCCAGTCGGACAAGCGTTTCGATGAATGCGTGTAGGTAGGACTCCGCCTCTGCGGCAGTAAGGATTTGGAAGTCTGGCGGCGCGGTCGTTGGTGATGGTGATGGTGCGGCAGCGGTTGTGAGGTTTGGGATTTCGGTATTGGGTTGATTCGGTCGGTGGGAGAGGCCGAGGAGGGTGGAGGCTACTTGTCGGATTTTATTGGTCTGTAAAAAAGGTCCTTTCGTGAGTTTGATACACAGTAATGTTTTGAGTAAAGGGGACATACAATGCTTGCGCCGTTCGGCTCCATGTTCACTTCATTCACTGTTCGTAATAGCACGAAGAGATCTTTGATGACTAGTTTACGCTCTTCAGCCATCACGCGGCCAATATAGTCTGTTTGCGCATGGGGTTGGGCTTCGGTGTTGGTTTCTGACGAGGCTGTTCTAGTGGGAGTCACACTCGCACTCGGTACCGAATTGGGTCTTCCTTCGATTTTGATATGTGGTGTGGTGCCGCCCGGGGTCGTGAATTTAGGTGACTTTCCGTACTTTGAAAACGTCTCAAAAAGGCTCCAGTACTTCTCGACCAGATAGGACCTGGTGCATAGCTGACTAGCGTAGATATTGGATTTCTGTATCTCATATTGTATAGAACGTCGTTCTTGGTGGATACGATCATTCGAGTAGCTGAAGATTGTGTCATCTCCGCCAAGACCTGATAAACCAGCTGGGGATATGTGTTTCGGATGGTGGAGGGACAACTCAGCGGGAACATCGATTAGTGCAGATTTTGCTTTCTTAAGACAGTCCCAAATGCAGTTGCGCTGGTGCTCCCAATCAAAGATTTGACCGCTGCCGAACGCTATTTCCCAAGCTAGCAGGGTGGTATATGAGCTGTAGACGCGGACATTTGCGTTGAACCCGACTAGCTGTGAAACTCGGTCGGATGGCTGTGGCTCAACATGTGTTGCGAATAAAAATTCATCGTCGATCTCCAGCGGGAGTGGTGGATAACGGTCCGTTGGTGTCTCTGGAGGAGCATGAACCTTGATATCTGAAGAGCCCATCTGGTATAATGTCTGATATCCGACAAAGGTGACGTAGAACAGACGCCGGCCGAGCTCTTGAGTGATGAGGTCGACACCTTGGCTTTCCGTAAAATTATGTGCTGGTTGATCGTGCACCATTACTGAGGTTTGTGATAGCGGGCTGTGAGGTCCTAATGTCGAGGACGGGGGGTTGGTGGTGGTCGGCGACCGGCATAAATCATACACTTGAAGCATGGCTCGGCATTCCGACAGGTACACACGGCACCGGCGCATGTTGTAAATGTAGCCGGCACATATAGCGAGAAAATAGCTGATCGCTGCATCGTAGACTGTGGCGTTGCGATCAAGATATCCGGTCCCGCGAGCTTGAATGGCAACGTCAAGGCATCGCTTTACTAGAGCTATAGAATTAGGGAAAGCGGTGCGTTCAGCTTCGGTGTTGAGTCGGAGTTTAGGCCGCCGAGGGAAGGAAGTCACTAGCAGTCCAATCATTGACGCCAGAAGCGCCAAAAACGTGTGGTTGGTTACATCTTCCCGGCGCTCAAAGGCTGCTCGAAAAGAAGGCTCATGTGGAATTGGGACCAAAGGATGGATGTAAGTAAAAAAGTCATCGAGTAACATCTGCATCGTGTGCAAAGAGCATATCGACTCCGCCGAAAGAGGGAACGATGTAGATTGAGGGCTGGCGAATGGCGTTGCTAGGGGAGTTGTCCTCGCCGACGGATAGTCTGCCGGGCTCAGTGACGCTGTATCTTCAGGTTCCCGCTTTTGTTTCTTCAACGCCTCCGCATGGCGGTTAGGAGGCCCGCGGCGTCTGCTTGGTCTTTCATAGGTGCAGGGAATATCCAAGCTAGAACATGACCGACAAGGCGGCCCACCAGTATCACACTTGCATGGAAATCAGTATTTTCCGGAATACTATGACAAATGGATCATACCTTCACTTTCCGAATACTACAGGCATCGCAGGCCTTGCGCAGTCTTGTTTTCAAGTCCATCGATGAGCAAATTGCCGGGATGACCACACCTCGAACCGTCAGGTCATGTTTACTCGGCTCAAGACAGTCAGTACATCCAGACTCCAGGTTTAACTATGAACCGGAAGAATGCCGAAATCCGTGTCCCGAGAGTCGGGAATAACCCAGGAACTTTAAAAGCTGAAGCTCTGGAAATCTCGGGGAAGAGATCCAGACCTCAGGTTCGAGGGGTCACACTTCTGGATTGCTAAGCGGGTTAGACCTCCAGGATCTGGAAATCTAGAACTTTGCTGAGGCAACTATTCAAACGATATTTCCGGTGATCTATCTGCTCTCAACGGATGATTCTGAGTGCTATATTGTGAATAAATCCGCAATAAAAAGAAAACAAGTCTCGGACCGTGTTGCGGTCACGTGCTATTCCGAAAATGCTTCAGACCCTTTTTTTTACGAGATTAATCGGGTAGGGGGAATTACGATGGAATTCATCAAGAATCACTGAACTATGGTCGACTACGACTATTTTCTAGTGATACGGAACAAGGGTGGACTAAGAACCAGAAATAGACAATTAGATGCGTTTTGCAGTAACCTCGGACACCCGAAATAGATATCTAGTTCACAGGTCATGGCATAATATCGTCATGGTATTGCTCACCTAGTCGACTGGACTGCTGGTTGATAGCTCGTCGCTTGCGTTCGATATCCGTCACCCAAAGTGCCGACCCAGCAGCCGTGGTCATCAAAAATAGCATCGAAAAAGGAGGAATAAGTTGAAGGATCAGAGCCACCGTGCCAAACCTAGAGTGTGTGAGATCTCATATCAACAGAGAAAAGAAACATGACTTACGTAGTGTACTGCAGCTGACGGCGGCTAATACTTTCCTTTCTCTGCTGCTTGGACATATCCAGTAGGTGAAAGTAACGCCAGTGATGGAAGGGACCGGCACGATAGCCAGTCAACACTAGGAACATAGGAGTGCCGGCCACCGGGATAAAGATGAGCGGAAGCAGAATGATAAACTCGGCGATCTGCCGCAACGAAAATGGAGAATACACAGCACTGGTGGTCGGCGTTCCTAGACGCTTGGCCGGGTTTCCGGGCTCGGGGTAAATAACCCGCGAAGTGGTAACAAGCTCCTCCTGGCCCTCTTTCACCAACACTGCATCGAATATATCCACTAGAGTCTCATCGACAAAGAATGCCTCGAAGAGTGCGGCAACAATCGCAGCTCCTTCACCAAGCACCAGGAATGCGCCGCTCACCCATGCTGAGCTGCCCTGGAAGATGGCAAGGAAGGCAACCTGGGGAAGGTACGTGAAGAAAAAGAGAATGAAGTATATGAAGGATGAGAGGAGGACGATGGGGAGAAGGCGAGCCTTGAAGAGAGGCCATAGGAACCGATTGGACGCAAAATAGTAGATTCCCTGTTTAGGTTAGCCATGAAGCTTTGAAGCTTTGGAAACCCCCAAAATAACATACCCGAATAGGATACAGCCAGGCAGCTCGACTTGGATCCAGGAGTTGCGACATGACTTCCAGGTTCACAGGTTCAAAGAATCCGTTCCAACGGTAATGGATGAGTACGAAAGCAGGCAGCACCTTATCGATAAGCTCCCACGTGATCATTGGATATCAGTCTGGATGACTAATCCAGTACTATTTCATCGAGAAATTTTTCGCCGAGCGCCCTTTTCCTTTTCTTCTTCACATAAACTGAAATCCTCCCTATTCACTCTGAACTTTTGTTACAATCACTGTTCTGGAGGGGAAATGGGAGGAAAGACCAAATCTGCTGGCTTACCCCAAACTCTTCTACTCAAGTGTGGAGCGTTTGGAAATATATTCAGCTGTACATTCCTCTTCAAGCCTCTTTTTGGTGTTTGGAACTTATATTCAAAATTCAATGTTGGAAGCCTTGGCTTAAAGCCGATGGCAATGAATTTCGTTCATAATGTGCTCCAGGCTGTGTACAATGCCCGTTGGCTGTAGATCTGGTGCCACGGCATCCTTCCATCCCGCACCAGCGCGATCAACCCATATAGCTTGCATGCCTGTAGCGCGCGCCCCGACAATGTCGAAAGGGTTGCCGCTAATCAGCCAAAGTTTGCTCATCTGCGATGGGTCTTGGCCCGTCTGCTTCGCTAGGTGCTCATAGCTTGCCTTAGATGGTTTATATTGCTGGACTTCGTCTACGGTGACGATATCTTTGAAGACGCTCGCGTGCGGCGAAAGGTCCTTGGACCGCAACACCGATTTTGATACCATAGTTTTTGTTCCGTTGGAGAATATTACGGCTTGGATGGTTGGGTCGGCAGCTATGTGGGCCAAAGCTGGATTCACATCGGAAAATGTAGAGAGACTGTCGTAAGCTTGCATCAAGTGTTCGATGGTATCGTCGCTCAGCTGCTCCTCGTTGTCGGCTAGCGCGTGCAGTAGGGAGTTACGTGTGATGACTGAGAAGTCTTCATAGCGGCCTTTTTGATCGTCAATAATTTGACCGTCAAGCCTGGAAGCGTTACTTGCCCATGCTGTTCAATCTCCATGTGTACTCCAGCTGATACCGCCTCCAGAGCGCAGAGATCGCATGCGCCTTGTCATTGGCACAATGTTTCTCTAGTTGTTTAACGATCGATTCAGTTGAGAGTAAAGTGCCATATAGATCAAAAGCGACAACTGTTGTGGCTGTCATGATGTTTCATAAGTTACGATGTCAAAAAGAACAAAGTTTGAAGCCTTTGAAGGAATGTCGAAGAGTGGATAAAGAATGATGTCAATCTTCCGTGGGGCAAAACAAACTTGCCCAACGCGCTCTCCAGACCAAACCTGTAAGGTCAAGGCTTTTGGTCAAGGCTTTTCTCCTAATTAAGTCTCAATGGCTTCCAATGAGAACTATGCTGTATTCCGCGAATGTCTGTCTAATGCCATCGTGGCCCGCTCTGAGGAAAAACCAAAGCCAACGCGACGGAAGCCAAAGGGCAAGCGCACCGAGCGCACCGAGCGCAAAGACGTAACAACAGCGACAACAGTCTCAAGCGGGAGAGCAGACCCAGAGGAGCTCGCCGAATTTGTTGATGTACATGCACCTAGCCACCTAGCCAGTCCAACCCAGCGCAAAACAACCTGCCCTCAGGCACAACAAAACCCATACACCACAGCCAACAACTAACAAGACCCAAAGCTAACAACCCCAGTTCCTAGCCTCAGAAACCTTCACCACATTCCCAGACTCCCTCAAAACCCTAAGCTATGCGGCCACCCAACATGATCCAGCCCTATCGACCCTCTACATCCCCCCAGACACCGACACTCCCCTCTCACGCGCCACACTCGAAACCTTATTCTCCCCAATCCCAGTTAGCGTAACCGAATCGCTACTAGTTTACGGCATAATTCCCGACGCATCGGACGTGCTGGACTTCCTCGCGCCTGTGCTTGCAGAGTACACATCGAGCGTGACGACCGGCCCGCCGGCGTGGGCAAACACGCGCGCGGATGCGTGCGAGATCTGCGAGCGCGACTGGATCCCGCTCTCGTATCATCATTTGATTCCGCGTGGGGTGCATGCGAAAGTTATTAAAAAGGGCTGGCATGATGAGTGGATGTTGAATAGCGTGGCGTGGCTTTGTCGCGCTTGTCACAGTTTTGTGCATCGCATGGCGAGTAATGAGGAGCTCGCTAGGGAGTGGTTTACTGTTGAGAGAATTTGTGAGAGGGGAGATGTGCGGGATTGGGCTATGTGGGTTGGGAGAGTTAGGTGGAAGGCAAGGTAGAGAGGTACTTGAGGTCTATTTATGGTTATAGTATTTGATATGAAAGGGTTTATCTAAGACTCGAGAGGGTAAATCATGAAAGCTGATTTATATGGGCACTTGGAAGGTATGTATGTACGCACATATGTATGTACATCGCGAAAAGACCAGCGGGGGCCCAAACATGTTTATTGCTCATCCTGAATATAGCTTTTTTGTATTAACTTGTAGTTATAAGTAAAGAATAGTTCGACATAGATAGGTAGATAAACAGAGAAAATAGTCTGTAAAATATGAAAGAAAAATCCCACGAAAGAAAGCCTGCATGATTAAGAATATAAAACATTTAATTTCCTCCCAATCTTAGAGTTAATCCCGAGTAACAGTGGCAGTAACAGTCTCAGTAATGCGATCTGTCACCGTTTCTGTCTCGGTCTGGGTCTCAGTGATCGTGATAAAGCCAGACGGCGTAACCGGGTTCACAGTAAGTATCCCTTGGTCTAGTTTGGAGGTTGAGGTAGCAGATGTGGATGTGGAAGTGGCGTGGGCTATCACAACAGGAGCAGTCTCAAGTGAAGCAGTCTCACTTGAAGACGGCAACAACGGAGCATATGACGATGTTGTCGAGTAAAGGGTCACTGGAACAACACTTGTGGAAGTGACGTGGGCTGTCACAATAGGGGCAGTCTCAAGTGGAGCAATCTCACTTGAGGGTAGCAACAACGGAGCATATGACGATGTTGTCGAGTAAACGGTTACTGGAACAACACTTGTGGAAGTGACACGGACTGTCACCATAGAAGCAATCGCACTTGAGGACGGCAATAACGAAGACACAGCAGAAGGGAACGATGTATCCGGGTAAACAGTCAGAGGAACAACACTCGTGGAAGTGGCGTGAGCTGTCACCACTGGAGCAATCTCATTTGAGGATGACAACAACAAAGACGAAGAAGGAAGCGATGGTGTTATCGAGTTGGTGGCCATAGGAACAACTGATGTTGCGCTAGCATGACCGGTCTCTATAGGCGCTGCATTCACACTCGGGGCGCTCCCAGTTGAGGATGGCAAGACCGAAGATGAAGAAGCAGGTGATGGCGATGTTGGGTAAACAGTCACACGAACGACCGACGTTGCAGTGGAATGTATAGTCACAAAATTCAAAGATGTAGTAATCAGTTCGGCAGACGGTTCTACCGTTAGTATTGCTGATGACACCAGTGAGTTGTTGACACTGGACGTGTGGTGGATGACGCTTGTCGAGAAGGGACTTTCTGCTCCCGCTCCCTTGGTCACATATACGATCACAGGCTCGGTTACGGTCACCACTGGCTCGGATCCCGACGTGGGAGGCTGTAGTGATGTAGATTTTGTCTGTGTACCTTTTGCTGACTGGGTGGCATTGGAGATTGGGATCACCGATGTGGACGTGGAAGGACTGCTGCTGCTTGCTCCTCCTAGAGGTTCAATAGCTCCAACAGCCAGGCTGCTACTTGTGGGCACTATAGGAACACTCGCTGGCTGTATGGTCGTAGAAGTCGAGATTGGTGGTGTGGTTGTAGTAGCCTTGAGGCTGCTTACTCCACCTATAAGTGCAGCCGATGAAGATTGGGCTGAGCTCGGTATCGCCAAGGAATCGAGGGAGGACGTTGAGCCTGGAATATAGGCAGGTAAAGAACTAGTTATGGACGTTGAACGCAGTATTCCCGGGGTTGTGGACGTATGAGAGGTAGTGGTTGGCCCTTGACTTGTTGTTGGGTTTGGACTAATGGTTGGCTGTTGAGTTGTAGCCGGGACATGGCTTGTAGTCGACAATGGGGTTGTAGTTGGCACCTGACTTGTAGTTGGCTTCTGACTGGTGGTCTCATGTGTTATGCTTGACGCATGGGATGTAGTTGGCTTTTGAGGGATGGTTAGCTTAGAGGTCGGTTTCATTGTTTAGAGAAGGGCAAGGTACTATTGGCTCATCGTACGTAAACGGTTGCTGGGTAGGTGCCGCCAAAGGCGTGATTTCGGTGATACCGCCAGCTTCACGCCGTTCGAGATCAGGCAAAAGGGGGGAAGAAGTCGGCTCAAGTGCCTCCAATGACCGGGATAGCCAGCGAGAGATCGGACCAGCCGAGGCAATCCATGGCAGAAGAAGGAACAAAAGGAACTGAAAGCGAAGCATCCTAATTTAGAAACGAGAGTATTGGAAATGATCGCCAGGACACGACTTGGACAAAATGGGACAGTAAAGAAAATCGGGTGCTCAGTCAAAGATATAATAGAGCACCTGAATGAGATATACTCAATCACACCTGTAAGAAAGCATGACAAAAGAGAATATTAGGAAATTAATGGGAACGCATACAAGGCCTAGGAGGCGTCTTGATGGCTTGCAAATGAAAGAATGGCTGGATCACTAGAGATCACGGAAACGCGGGGAAACAAAAGAATGGGGCAAGATGAAGCAACCTGGGACTTTAACAGAAAGGAGATTTTCTTTCAAGCCCTCGCCATCGAGGATCCTGGCTGGTATATCTACATTTTGGGGTTTTATCAGGGGCCGAGTTAGGCTTAGGGCTTCCTGTCAGCCGCCCATTGTTCAAATCTTGGCTTTTCCATGAACAAATCCAAAATAATCCAGTACTATTAGTCCCAGGTGGAAGCGCTATTGCAAGGGGTTCTTTGTGGGACGGAATTTATGCTAGAAATAGATCGCGCGACAAAGAGACGTTACAGTAGGCGCCTTGCCCTGGTCGATGGCGCGTGGTGATTGGCCGGCTGCAGGCGCAGGACCACTTTTGTTATTATGAAGATTTCGAGTTGACATATGGACTATGTAGCTTCTAGACCGAGAGTGTCTGGCTAATTCATTCGCTACATGTACGGGCGCGTAGGTGAAGATATAATTACTATGGCTTGGTTGCTCCCCGAGGTCGTACACTTTGGCAAATTAGGTTGTTTGGCACAGTTCATTCAACTAGCCATCACTCGACACACTAATTTATTATCAATGAGTCAGACTATGAATTATTCACTTTGAAGGTCCCACTAATGCCCTCGAATGGCGAGATTTGGCCAAAGGGATTCTTTGAGTCTCCATAATAATGCATCCGATAGGTTCCAGCCTGCAGGGGGAACGTTGTGTCGACACTATAATACTCATCCTCAATCTCCCATTGAATTGTCACCTCACTGTGGCCAAGAATCTCATTGGTCCGCTTCCATGTGAAGACCAAATTCCAGTCGCGGTCATTGCGCACGACCTCCCATGCACCAGAATCGCTTTTTCTTTCAACAGCAGCGTAGGTCGATTCGAGGTGCAGATTGTTGCGGGGATTGGCACCCACAAAGGTCGTCTTGACAATATCTCCGGGGCTATAGGGTCCGCTCTCCGGGTTTGAAGTCACATTTCCAAAGTGCTTGCCAATGGGCACTCCGTCATACACAACTCCTGCAATGAAGCTCAATGAACGGTTGGTGTTGATTGGTGGGGTGGGGCCAGATTGGATAGCAGAAAGTTTGGCAATTTCCGAGGAGCTTCCCAAATATGGCAGGTAAGTGAGGGTCAGGTTGACATAGGCTGCCAGTGTGTTGGGGCCGTAAAGTGTGGACGCGCCCTCGTAGCGCTGAGCGCCATACTCTTCCTCCGTTGCCACGTAGTGAGCGTAGCTGTTTGACGGGGCTCCTAGTACCACTAGAGGGTCGGAAACAGAAAGGTGGCTCTTTGCTCCTTTCGCAATAGCTTCCTTCCAGCGTCGCCCAGACATCGTAGTAGCTTCGCTGGTGGAGATAACGAGGAACAGCTGACCCACTCGCAAGACCTGGATGTCAACAATATCCGCAGCCCATGGATAAGGTTCAGTGAGAGTGCCAATATCCAATAGCACGTTCTTGGGGCTTTGGCATTGTTGCTGCGTTTGGCTGGGCTGGTGGATAACTGCACGCGCAACTTGCCACAGGGGGTTGCGTTCAGCTGAACTAGTAGCATTTTGGGTAAAATCAAAGGCACCGGGTCCGTCTGTAGTTCCGGCGGCAAAGGAGTACCCCAGAGCCGCAGGACAAGTCGTCAACGTACTAGAGTTGAACGGCGAGGGGAAAGTGTAGCCATTCATGTCTTGGTACACATGGAAAGACTTCACCGCAGAAATTCCAGTGATTTTGATAGGGGTTGTATCCATCTCCTCGTATAGCTTCTTTGCTGCTGAGTACTGGCGGCGCCCAATCTCAAAGCAGCTCTTCGCTCCGTTGTCATTCTCACGGAAGAAAGGACCTCGACCATGGCAATCCTCGTTTCTTCCACCGCAAGTGCTATCTTCATATCGACACATCTCCTCAGAGCCGTCTTCGCACCAAGCCCCTAGGATGTTAGGGGATGTGTCCCCGACACTCGCTTGGGAGAATCCAATTACGGGATCTTCAGTAAACCTCGCATCGCCGTCGACACTGCGCTCGAACAGGTAAGCTGCGACACCTTTGTTATCGCCACTGACCAGGGTGTTGTTGTTATACATAGATGTGCCATGAACAGGGAACCATGTCAGGATAGCCGCTGTTTTGTTGTCGGATTCGCGATCAAATCGAAGGAGCGAGAGTGATTTTTCAACATTTTCAGAATACCGTTTCCGTTCTTCCTCGGGGTTATGGTCGTATGAAAAAGGACTTCGATTGATATTGGTGTCTTGTAAGTCGATAGATCCAAAAGAGAGCCGACCTGGCGCCAAGTTCTCATGGGCACGGACGATTGATAAAATAGTGCCGTCGACAATGGCTTGATAGCTTTGCTTATTGAAGCCTAATGCCGGGATCTGAGGCAGCAAATAGTTCATCCACGCTCCAGGCCCGGAGTGCGAATGTGTTCCCGTCATTGCGACGTTGTGTTCGCCGTACCGTGCATACTTCCCACCGAGCGCAGTGAGACCCTCTAAGACACCGTGTCGCACGGCTGTATCACCGGTAAGTGTATCGAGAACTAGGTACATAAAAGTGTCATCGGGCTTGTTTGGGTCTGCGAAAATGAAGGCGCGAGAATACAGTCTCTGCCTTAGACCTGTGCCTAGTTGGTCCAAACTGGCATAACCAGCGAGAGTAAGCTCCACAACGGGCCTAGTGATCATATTAGCCAATTTGATACATTGAAATGTCGATACCAAAGCATAAACATACCCAGTTACATCTGCCTTGCCCGCTCCGACTAAAAAGATATCGTCGGCTGCCGCCACGCTTGCTCTGTTTTTCCACTGGTTGAAGTTTGAACTAAAGCTAGGCAAAGGCAACTGTGACTCGCTATCGAACCTGAATACCGCAATCAGCTGCAAAAACGCCAGAACCGCAAGAGTCACCCCAGCAAAGGTAACGCCCATGCGAAAGTCAGCCATTGTTGGGAGGATTTGCCGAGATATCTTAAGTAATTTAGAGTTATGACATCTGCAGAAGAGACGCGCTGAATAACTGTAGCCCTTGAAAAGTCGAAATCCCTAAGGGAGGTACGGGTTCTTATACAAGTGCATCAGTGAATACACTGGGAAGACGAGCGAGCTACCTGCAAGTACAGACGATCATTACCCAAGTAACCCCAAGCCTAGAAAAGCAACTGCAAATTGTACATGAGATACTCGGTAGGTGACATTCGTCTAAGCGATGTAGGGGTTGGGATCGTCATCCATTGAAGCCCGCACACCAAAAGGGAATAGACTTTCGCTGCACTCCCCGCACGGGGGATGAGATGTGCTCGTATGCCTGCTGCACATGTGAATACTGGATTGCCTCGATTTTTAGCCAGTCGGCGAGTTAAGAACTTGCGTTAGGACTCAAGTATCTCGCGTAAAAACAATCCAAACTAGAGATGATCATCGCTGCAGTCAGGAGAGCATTCTCGAGGGCAATGCCATTCGCCCAAGCATTCCCCCCGGACTCCCAAACGCTGGTTTTTTGCTGCAGAAACATACAAAACATATCGCATGACTCCAGTTCAACTGTAAGGGCATTCATGTTTGATGAATTAATTACCCTACAAATCATTAGCTACACTGTACCTTCCTTGTTTCCGCTTCGGTGCATATAAAAGCCACGGTCACGTGGTAAATGATAGCTGAGTCAGGTGCACTGATCTCGCCGCCTTCCTCGCCGCCTTCACATAGCAATGGTTCCCAGATTAATCTACGATCTTCACCTTGACGTCCATACAAGAACATCCCTCCAAAATGCCTTTAATCAACGAATCTCATGACTCGCTGCCATGTATGTACATAATGTGGGCAAGAGACGTGCATTTCGATCCCAATCGCTAACCTTCTAAGATATCGACTCGGCGCCCACTGCGTCGGCGCAAGCGCGAGCGCAGCAGCTCATTAACGCAGAGCTATCCCCCGAGCACGCCTCCACAATGCACCCGTGGATCCCGGAAGCGCCAGAACCCAGATTTTCTCAATTTATGCAACAAGAACTCTCGCGCAAAGCGCAAGGCGCACCTCTCACTGGCGGGATCGATCTATCCCGCTACGAAGCACCAGAGGCCCCGACTCGCGCATCAGACACCGAGACGCCCGATCTAGACGCATGGCGCCAGACGTTACAGAAGGCATATTCGTCAAGCTCCCATCTATCCAAGCGCCACGAGAATCTGGCTCTGCTAGAAGAGCACGGCAAAAACGCTTGGCTGATTGGCAATTCACAGCTTGAGGAGATTCTCGGTTCTCTTGAGAAGGAATTGGCAGAGACGAAAGAGGCTTCTGAGGAGGTGAACAAGCAGAGAAAAGTTGCACAGGAGGCGAGCCAGGGTGAGCTAGTCAGTCTGGAGGAGACCTGGAAGAATCGTCTTGGCGCGATTCTTGATGTTGAGGTGGCATCCGAGCGATTGCGCATACAGCGCCTTGACTATATGCGTCAAGTGGCCCAGCAGCAGGCTCGCTAAGGGATAAATTTCGTCTTGTTGTGTACTATCTTTCTGAAAATGAAAGCTTGTCATTCTAGCGACCTTCTGCTGGCTGAGGGATGCACGTTCTTGGTCGTACAGTCTGCCTGGTGGAACACTTGCATAGTGGAGTGCCATGTGTGCGACTTGAGAGTTACCATGCCTTTTTTCCTTCGTCCATAAACACTTTGGGAAGTGGTCTGTGTGTGTCGCTCTTGCTTTTACACCGAGTACTTATGCTCGCCCACCCAGTTTATCAACACTAGGCTCTT